GATTATACATCATCGAAAAGTGTCACTGATCTCACCTGCTCTAGGATCAGTTCCAAGGATTGACTGCTTTTAAGGATGTTTCAGATCTTGCAGAAGACGGTCCCATGGCCATCCGGGTTCATGTTTATGTGACGACGCCAAATCCGCTCTTATATAACATTTCCAAGTGTTTTCGAAAAAAATCACGAAGCCCTAGGATCAGTTTAATGGATTTACCACTTTTACGGATGTTCCGGATCTTCCGGAGAACCGTTTTCGTTGCCATCACGGTTCATTTTTATATCACGACCACAAATTCATTCACAGTTCCAAATGTTTTTTTTTTTCGAAAAAAATATTGAGATCTAGGATCAGTTTCATGGCTTTACCGTATGTTCCGGATCTTCCGGAGAAACTTGTCCGAAGCCATGTTTATGTCACAACCCCGAATTTATTCTGTAACACAGTTCAAAGTGTTTTCGATGAAATCGTGGAGCTCTTGGATCAGTTTCATGGATTGACCACTTTTGTGCATGTTTCGTATCTTCCGGAGGACAGTTTTTTTGGCCAGCATTGTCCAATTTTATACCACTACCCCAAATTAATTCTTATAGGGGAAATAGCTCGTAAGTTGGCCCATGGTTCTAATATTGGGCCCATCGCTAAAAATCTCCTATTTATCAATTTTATCTTGATGAACGCATCATCATGGCGGTACCATTGCATATTTTTGGATGCTAATGGAAATTTGACGTACTACTGAATTTTTGCATGGCCCAAATTAGGGACATTTAGGCCAACATTAGAGCCAATTCCCCTATCACAGTTCCAAGAGTTTTCGAAAAAGACGTCAGAGCTTTATGATCAGTTTCATGGATTGACCGCTTTTACGAATGTTCCGGATCTTCCTGATGACGGTCCATAGCCATCCTGGTCCATGTTTTTGCCACGGCCCCAAATTCATTCTCATGCCACAGTTCCAATTTATTTAAAAAAAGAAACCGTAAACCTATAAGATCAGTTTCAAGAATTAACTACTCTTACGGATGTTCCGGACTTTCCTGAAGACTGGTTCCGTAGCCATCGAAGTTGATATTTGTTTCACAAACCTTAGTTCATTCTTATTTTACAGTTAAAAGCGTTTTCGAAAAACCCGCAGATCTCTTGGATCAGGTTCATGAATTGATCACTTTTACGAATGTTCCGAATCTTCCGAAAGACCGTTTGCGTGGCCATAAGGGTGCATGTTTGTGTCACAACCCCAAATTTATTCCTATATCAAACAGTTTCAAGTGTTTTCGAAAACGACGTCAGAAGTTTATGATCAGTTTCATGGATTGACCGCTTTTACGAGTGTTCCGGATCTTCCAGAGGACGGTCCCATAGCCATCCTGGTCCATGTTTATGCCACGGCCCCAAATTCATTCTCATATCACCGTTCGAATTTATTTCAAACAACCGTGGACCTCTAGGGTCAGTTTCATCAATTGATCACTCTTACGGATGTTCCGGATTTTCCAGAAGACTGGTTTCGTAGCCATCGGAGCCCATGTTTGTGTCACAATCCCAAATTTAGTCTTATATCACAGTTCCAAGCGTTTTCGAAAAAAAGGTGGTGCTCCAGGATCAGTTTCATGAATTGACCACTTTCACGGATGTTCCGAATCTTCCGGAATTCCGTTTGCGTGGCCATTGGGGTCCATGTTTATGTCACATCCCCAAATGTATTCTTATATCAGAGATCCAAGCGTCTTTGGAAAAAACGTGGAGCTCTAGGATCAGTTTCGTGGATTGACCGGTTTTACGAATGTTCCGGATCTTCCAGAGGACGGTCCCATAGCCATTCCGGTCCATGTTTATGCCACGACCCCAAATTCATACTCATACCACAGTTCCAATTTATTTCAAACAACCGTGGACCTCTTGGATCAGTTTCATGAATTGATCACTCTTACGGATGTTCCGGATTTTCCAGAAGACTGGTTTCGTAGCCATCGGAGTCCATGTTTATGTCACATCTCCAAATCGTATTCTTAAGCGTTTTCGAAAAAAAAAAACGCGGAGCTCTAAGATCAGTTTCAAGAATTGACCTCTGTTACGGATGTTCCGGATCTTCTGGAGGACCATTCCGTTGTCTCCAGTGTCCATATTTAGGAACCATGACTGTATTCTGGCTGATTTTGTACATTCGTTTTATAGTTTTCACAGGCATTTTCCGACCTCGTCGAGCTGAGTCGATTGGCAAATGACATTCCTCCCTCAGGGACTCGGATCGATAGTCGGTACTTCAAGCGGTATTTATACCGTTCTTTGTAAGAAGGGTAAAAGAAGAACATGCAAAAATTGGAAGAAGGCAAAACAATGATGATGAATAATGTATCAGCCATACCAAAAATCGTTGTTTTGCACTTCGAAGAGAGTCAAATCAGCTATATAAAAATATTTCCTTAGTATCATCAAGTCCTAGATTCTGGGAGAGATTTGTAATTTTAATTTTTACTGGTCCTGTCTCCAATTAGCTCAGCCGGTAAAGGCGCAGCTACAAAGCAAGACCATAATCTCAAAGATTATGGAACGACCTTTTTTTTTTGTTTATTAATTTATTTGATAAGGCTCAACCGAATTAACTTTACAGAACCGAGGATTCTTGTTCACTATACAATACATCTAACTATAGTCAAAAGGTACAACACAATAAACATTTTATCTTCCGCTATCCAATAAGCCTCCTCCACCAGAACGGGAGCCGCTTCCACTGGTTTCATTGTATGGCAGATTCGCCAACGAGGCTCAGAGCGCTTCCATTGCAGTAATGGACGCAAAACGTGGTCATCACTGACACACTCATCACGAAACGGTTGCTTTCCAAAGTCGACGACGCATCGACTGCAAGAACTGCTGATGAAGAACAATGAGGAGGACCAAACAATGGTTGCTGCCGAGTAAACAGACAATCGCGTGAAACACGTTGAGGGTGGTCTGCTTCTGTCGACAGCCGAGTGAACACTGGGACGTCCTTTTGTCCATTCAACCTTTTGTATTGAACCCAACAACGGTGTCAAATATGAACGAATTTGGTTATGAACTGAATTTGCGAGAGAATTTTAAATTTTGAATGGGAAAATGTATTGGAAACGAAACGAACCAATTAATTTGCTTGCCAAAAAATCAAATGTTGCTCAAATTTCATCAGATCTCGGAAATATATTGAGAATGCTGTGCAGAACAAGTTTATCCAAGACTGCAAATCGATTAGACTTCTGTGAAATTTATATTAATTTAGACCTATTGTTCCGCGTATACCTACCGGCGTATATATGAGCTTGTAGGAACCATTGATCTAAAGTGAATGATTAGTAATTTGTTGTACAATGATCAAATCGATTTGTATAAATTTTTCTATACAAAATTTAAACTTCTCCCGCAAATCGAGATTAGCTTTTTATAACAGAAATGTGCTACTTTGGTACTACTGTTGAAATGTGGAAATCTTCATTATTTATCAATCCGTTTTGTAATTTGATTTCACCCATTCGTACCGAGCAGAAAACATCGGATTTCAGGCGACATTTTACTATCTGATACCGTCATCAAATTTACCCAGTCTCCTTATGAACTCAAGAGTTGTTTTCCGATCTCGAGAAAATTAAACAAAGCAAATTAGCCCACCCCCCAGCTCCGATAAAAAAGGACCAAATCCTGCCATCCAGAAACATCATTAAGGCATCAAATTTCATGAAACCCAACAAAAACCCGCCACGAAACACAAACATGACCCCATTGCTATCATTTTTTTTTTTTTTTTTTTCATTATCGAATTTGATGCCTCCCATCTTTCGGTTTTCCTTTGTCCCCACCCATCTCCGCTGGTCCTTCGACGTTCAATTTCCTCTTAAATTAAGTTCAATCTAACAAAACCCCCCGCAATGTCGTGGTCTTCCGGACCAGCGAACGATCTGAGACCAACCAGGCGTACAAAAGAAAAACCAAACCCTCCGGACCAGTACGTCACAATATTCGAGAACACCCGAAAACAAAACACACCCACTTTTTCCTTGTTTCCCAGTGCACACGCAAAACGGGTGCGAAGGTGAAGCTATCGACAAAGGACGACACTCTGCCAAGCGAGGAAAACTCCTACTGCTCACATTCTTTGTCTTGGGAAAGTTCTCCTCCAACATTCCCAACTTGATTGCATCCTTCTTCCCGGTCTTCGCCCCGCGCCCCATGGTAGCTTAATTTCTTTTCGCAAACTCTCACGTTGTACCTACTCGTAGCAATTTCCGCGGAGGCGACAGTCTAGACCGATGAAATTGCCATTTCGTCGCCTCACTCGTCGTCGTCTTCGTCGCGTACCATACTTCCCTGAATTCTCGCTTTTCGCTGGAATTACCATCAGGTTCCTTGAACGACAGAGTTTGTACCGTACCATCCAATCAGCGAAATGAAATAGAACGAGATAATTCACGCATCCTGCAGGTCTCCCCGCGCCCACAGAAACGGATAATCCCGTTACTGGCGAAGAGACTTTATCTTAATCCAATTACTCGTCAGCCTAGCAGATGCTCTGGTGCTCATGCACGCCATCCGTGGGCTCCGCATCCGGTAGCAGCAATTATCCCTGTCAGCTGATGGTGACGACGTCGTTAAATCTTGCGCGAAAATGTCCTGCGAAAGGATTCCGAGACAAAGTTTTCTCCGTACCGATGCCAACGTGTACCATATGGGTCAACTTTGCTGTTCACATTCGCACTTATGCCGCCGCATTAGGAGAGAGTGAAAAAGATGATCCCGAAAAATGCCACGCCGCGCCCTCTTATGTAGCTCGGATCGACAATTTCAAACCCGATAGAAGCGTTCCATTGAATTCACGGGTCACACACACGCATTAATCCACAAACGACCCGGAAGGGTCGTGTCCTACATCCGAAACCACGCGTGAATCATTACACGTTGCACGACTATCCCCGCGATGTGGGTGTGGAACACTCAAAACTTCTCACATAACGCCTATTACACACCTTTTTTCTCTGACTAGATGGGCAAGACCGACGATCTGGCCAACGGTTCGGAGACGAAAAAGAGAACCTGACCTGCACTGATTAATTGACTTACTAACGAGACCGTCCCGTATCGTACCGTACCCAGAACAAATGTGGGGGGAAGAAAGCACGTCCGAACGCGACAAGGTTACAGCTGGAACTGACTGAACTGAGCCCGATCTCGATGACGCGAGAGTTTCCATTCCAGTCAGGCAGATTTGCTCTGCTCTGCTCTGCTCAATGGCCAGTCAGTGCAGCGAACGGATGGAGTCATTATGATTTTCCCCCAGTTTATTCTATCGTTTCGCTTTTTTGGGGAAAAATCGCACACCGCTGCTACCTGGCTGTGGATTGGTGCGAATGTTGTACTGCTAATGCTCCGTTGGTGGATCCATAGCATAATGCTGAACTTGGGGAGAGGAGTTCATTTTCAGGTTCACTCTTCTCTGGCCGTCGCTCGGTCTGTCTATTGTAGGTTACTGTTTGGTGGTTCGTTACGGTGCTTTGGTCTCATGTTCGATTCAGTGGTGCCAAATTTATGTAACTAACATCTTCGAAAGCTTACCTAGTTTTGACTGAACACGTGAAATTAGAAACAAACAGAAAATACACCGTCAAGAACAGCTTCGAGTTTGTGCTTAAAATTATTGACTACCTAAGCTGAGTGTGAAAGCACTGCACTATTCAATCCATTGCTCTGTGCAGACCGTTTGTACCAAACGGTAAAGGACAAGGCAATGAAAGAGCCAACAAAAATATTCAGTCACTCACGAACAGGCGACGCACACCGCTTGCCTTCGCTCACACAGCATGTAATTGAGTCATTTTTCCATAGAAAATGTACGCTCAGTCATTCAAAACAAATATTGGGTACCATCACGGCAGAATAAACGTGTTGACTGAGCTATTGACTGAGTGCTCGGCTGTCAGTGACTCGTTTACCTCTGAATCATTCAGACTCTCACGATGGCAGATGGCATTTCATATTCATATCAAAATGACTCAATGAACCTAACTGTTTTGCTCACTGCACCCTGTTCACCAACAGTTAGTCTAACATGACTTAATCATGGGCTGGGACACAGCGCCACAACAAACATCAGTTACTGCCTGTTCATATTGAGCTGGTTGAGTTCTGTCCCTAGAACAACTCCCGAACAGTTCCACAAGTTAAGATTCGATCTTTTTCCGATTTGCATGAAACTTTGCATAATTATGTGTTATGGGGAATTATTCACATTTTTGCAAAAATTCGGTCGTTTTGGATCTTGTATTTTTTTTTTTCAAATTGACGTCTTTGACAATTTTCAATAAATTGTAGCACGGAAAAGGCCTTTTTAATAGAAACTAAACGATCGACTCAACCTCTGGTGGTGAATAGTAGAACGTCAAAAAGAGTGTTGTGAGCATACATTTTTGCCTTGAGACATAGGAAGCGGAACACTTTTTTACTTTTCCTGATAAATTGATTCATCTGAGATGCTGCAAAACTTAATCTACAGTTGAAAAATTTAATTCTGTAACGTTTTTGAAAAGATCCTGCTGGTGTTCAGGAATATTTTTGTTGAGAAAAACGGAAAATTAGAAAAGTGCCTTAGTGGTTATGATCTTCCGGATTTCTTGTGTGGGAATAGCTAAGGTGCAAATCAGTTCAGATTTGTGGAAAATCGTACAATAAGACAATTACCGATGGAAATTGGCAAGATTTTGAATGAAAAATGCTGTTATTTGTGTTGGGGAAAATACTTATTCTGATGTAAACAAACGGTTTGGTTGACGTTTCTTCTCGAACTCGCGTGGCGCACTCTACGTTGGTGGTGCATTAAAAAGGCGTAACGGCACATCTGATCGAAATGCAATGACGTATATATAAGATCTGGGCCAACAGGAAGCTTGCTAAGCACTCAAGTGACGACGTCGCTCTAGTCAACATTACATACTGCAAACAGATAGTATAACGTCAATGACAACAGCTGTTTCGTGTAAAAGATAAACATTGCCATGAAATACGAACACCACTAAACATTTCACTAACACCAATAAGCCCTTTGGCTCAGCCCTTGTATAAAGGACATTGTTCGAAATGACGTCCGAGACAAAGTTGTTTAGAAGAGTAAAGTAAAACAAATCAGTGTCAACATTTCAAAGAGGCGTAATTGTATTTGTAAACAATGACTTTAGCCGTCGATTTCTCGTGAATTTAAACTTACTCATGAAGATTAATGACACAAGCAGGTAGATGAATGTTTCCTTTACCAGCTGGCATTGTTAATTTGGAGGGATGGACTTTTATTTGCGAGAAATCGATAGCTAAAGCCATTGTTTACAAAAGCAATTACGCCCCTTTGAAATGTTGGCACTGAAATATTACTAAAGATTCAAGTCACTGATGCCTTATGACTATGCTAAATCAACTGTTCAGCAGGCAACATTGGTGTTTCTGGCACGTAGAATAGAGCTTAAACATCATGGCTACTATGTAACACTACAAAATACAGTGTTGCCTACAAATCTGCTGCTTTATCATGCCATAAGACTATTAATCTCTTAAACAATTAACACTCCGAATACGATGCCTCCGAAAAACGTGTAACGGCAAGTTTGCAATGGCATAACTTAGCCATTTCTTAATACATTTAAAAAATTGGTAGTACTTTTAGAATTCCTAGGGTTTGTAGATGATTTTTAATGTAAAAAGATTGAAAATAGAGTCGTCTACTTTTTTAAAAAGCGAAAAGAGTTGTTACACGTTTTTTTGAAAGGTGTGTTTGTAGGGTTTTGCAAGTGGCGCAAGATCTGTAATTTAGATTAATGGGCACAAATGTTCACAATTAGCCAGAATACAGTCATGGTTCCTATATATGGATCCTGGAGACAACGGAACGGTTCTCGTAAAAACCGGAACATCCGTAAAAGTTATCAACCCATTTACCTGATCCTAGAGCTCTGCGGTTTTTTTGAAAACATTAGGAACTATTTGGGGTCGTGACATAAACATGTACTTGGATGGCCATGGGACCGTCCTCCGGAAGATCCGGAACATCCGTAAAGTGGACAATCCATGAAACTGATCCTAGAGCTCCGCATTTTTTTACATTAGGATCTATGATATAACAATGAGTTTGGGTCATGGACCCAGATGGCCATCGAACCGTTCAGTGGAAGATCCGGAACATCCGTAAAAGTAGTAAATCCACGATCCTGATCCTAGAGCTCCGCGTTTTTATAAACATTAGGAACTCTGATTATAGAAAGAATTGAATTTGAGGTTTTGACATAAACATGAGCCTGGATGTCCATAGGACCGTCCTTTGGAAGATTCGGAACATCCGTAAAAGTGGTCAATCCATGAAACCGATCCTAGAGCTCCGTGTTTTTTTTTTACATTAGGATCTGTGATATAACAATGAATTTGGGTCATGGACCCAGATGGCCATCGAACCGTCCAATGGAAGATCCAGAACATCCGTAAAAGTGTAACCGTCATATATAAATTAATTTGCGGTTGTGACATGAACATGTACCTAGAAGTCCATGGAACCGTCCTCTGCAAGATCTAGAACATCTTTAAAAATGGTCAATCCTCGAAACTGATCTTAGAGTTCTACGGTTTTTTCGAGGACCGTTCCATTGTCTCCAGGATCCATATATATGAACCATGAATGTATTCTGGCTAATTGTGATCATTTGTGATCTTACGCCACTTGCAAAACCTTACAAACACACCTTTAAAAAAAAAACGTGTCAAAACTCTCTTCGCTTTTTTAAAAAATTAGACGACTCTATTTTTAATCTATTTACAGTCAAAATCATCTACAAACCCTAGGAATTCTAAAGGTACCACAAATTTTGAAATTCATTAAGAAATGGCTAAGTTATGCCATTGCAAACTTGCTGTTACACGTTTTTCGGAGGCTTCGTAGTCGGCGTAAAGATTTTTACCCACCGTATTCGGAGTGTTAATAACTATTTAAATTGACGTTTGGCTGAAAAACGATCTGCAAAGTTGTAGCTGAGGTCTTTTAGAATAGCTATAGAAACAGCGCAGTATAGTAAATGGCTAGAAGACGTTGAAGAAAAAGTTTGGATTACCCATAGTAATTTCCATATAATTCAAATGGTTTGTGCCAAGTCAGTTTCTTGCTAAATGAGTTCAAATTTTGGGAGGCTAATCAGGACCCGATTTGGAACCGTTTGAGCTTTGTGGAGCGGGCATTTCATGGCCCATATCACAATTATGTAAAGTTTTATGCAAATCGGAGAGGGTTGAGTTTTTCCGATTCTTCATTTGTCGTGAAACTGCTCAGTGTGCCATTTGACTTCCAGTTGTTTGTCTTACTTGAGTTGGTGGGAGGTTGCTGTTTTCAGCCAAGTTGCTAGACCTTCATGTGTGATTGTTAGTAAAATCTGAGTGAAAATCTGCTTGAATTTGAGCACAGAGAACAGACATCCAAGCTCAAACAAATTTTTCGAAAAATTATGTGCAAGAATTCAAATTAAAATACGTTAGAAACACTAACGCCGCCATACGGAATGTTGCGACTCGAGTTATCACTTTTTGCGATTAATGAGTAAACTGAACTGAAATTTGGGTTCATCTTTTTGACCGTGTATCCAAATGAACTGTCAAATCAGTTAAAAACAAACAAGAAATTAATCGAGTTTCTGCGGAACCATTATTTTCGAATAAAGAACTAAGCTCTTTTACAGTTTACTGTAGATCTACAACCGTTTTTCGTTCCAATTTTAACTAGGCATAGTAGGCAGGAGCAAAATTGACTTTTCTTAAGTTCACTGGCGGCGTGTCTTCAAATGGTTCAGTGAGGGTGTGCACTCCAATTAGCCCTTATTTAAATTCAGAAAATAGAACATGGAAAAAAATCTCTTGTAGTTCGGTTAATTCAGCATCCTTACGAAAATTGTGAAAAGATTTTCGCTTGGAAACACCTTGTTTATTTGCGCACCAATAAAACTCACACTTGCGGCCCATGTTTTTATCAGTTTTAAACAAACAATGTTTTGCTCACAACAATTTTGATATTTATGTTAAGATGACGTCTTCCGGTCATCGACGTCGATGGGCAGCGACACTAGCGCCACAACGATATTGCTAGTTTCAATGCCTATTCAAAATAGCAGTTAAATTTCTTACACACTTTAGGAATTTGGCTTGGATGTCTGTTCTCTGTGGTTTGAGTGACGTCACTCATTTTCAATGAAATTCTGCGTTCGAATATAAATTACATTTACTCAAATTCGGACAGATTTTGAGTAACCGTGATTTAAGAAAAAGAGAGTAAACGGAACTTGAAATTGAGTAAGATTCAATGGCCCAAAACTGCATTTAGCAATACTTGATGGTATCTAAGTTATAAACCTTAGTGTTTTCCCCCTAAGGTAAGCCTCAACAGTCTTAACAAAACTTTACGGAACCGACAGTTTTTTTTAAATCAATTTAACAATAATAAAAACACTATTTCGAAGCAGTATCGTAAAGCGGTCGTGATGAGTTCTTATGGATGATGATTTACCGTGTTCTTTCTCCTGTGCTCGCAACTTCTTCAATTCTTCATCAACATTTAAAAAAAGCGAAACTGCTCCGTAAATAATGGATTTAGTCAGGGTTGCCATGCACAATTGTTCGAACAATTTGCTCATTTATTGATAGCTTGCACTCACTTGACGAAACATGGTTTTTCTTGAAGCAACCGATAAGCAAAAAGTTTGAGGTTCACAGTAGATTTACATTAGGCGAAAAGCTGTTCTCATTTTCGCGTCACAAAAATAAAAAGATAATCAATCGCTCTATTCGAACTTCCAATGAAAAATCTCATTGATGCGAGCTCAAATGTTGAAATTAAACTACTCTGTGCGCGTCCACAGTGAACTCTGGTTCTACTGTATCATTAAAGTATCCAAATCAGGGAGAAGATATTAACAAAAGAGCAATTTGTAAAGCAAAATGAGCATGCCAACCCTGGCTTTAGCCATCGATTTCTCGCCAATAAAAGCTCACAAATACAATCTAACAGCATCATCCAGCAGGGGAATGTTGCTAACCAGTTGGTTTTATGTTAGTTTCGCATC